GGAAAGAGTCAGTACATGGTTTAGCAGAAGGCTGGATGGGGAGGATGAGTAGAAGTTTTGCTTCATTGCACAGAACCTGGAATTGTATGTTGCAGACAGTGGGTAGGAAGTGATGACAGTTTTCTCCCACACCTGGATGAGTTGTGGGTCTCCTGCACAGTTTACAGTTGTTCTCCATAATGCATGCTACATGTTTGTATCACAAGTGCTGGCTAATCTGTAGTAGTCTCCAGGAAAAGTGTTCCACACCTGAAGATGGGGAGACCAGGAAGTGATGGGCAGAACTAAAAGAAGAATGCCCGGACTCCTAAGCTTATGCTTTCTGCTTTAGTTTATACTGCCTTTCAGAAGCTCGTTTTATCAATTCCCGGTCTTTAGGGTTGTGAATGGGAGCGCACACGTATGTACTGAACAAAGGCATCTTAGGAGATTGTCGGTTTCTTCTTTGACCAAATGGAGAACTATAGAGTAATGGAGGAGTCTTCTGCCTGGAGGCTATAAATCACTTTCTGTACTTAGTGATGGATGCACTAACACAGTGGACTTTTTGTAGAATAATTTGGAACAAGTATGTTCATTTCCAATTTAGAGAGAAGCTAGAATGAAATAAGAGTCATTTCCAGTCTGGGGCGCTGTTTTATGGAGCTGAGTTGGATTGGTGGTACTGGTTAATGATGTTCTAGCCATACTTAAGACACAGTGGCCGTAGCATTTTTAGCTAAAGCGAGAAAGTTGAGTTTATTCCTTTGGCAGACAAGAATGCCAGTGAAGATGAGCTTTTGGGGCAACAGTGTGGATTCTGGAAGCTTGGGAATAACGCGTTTGCTTAAAATGAGTTTTGGGAATTCAAAGTTAGGTAACCGTTTACTAAACCCAGCATGTTCCTATGTTGTCTCTGTTTCTGACTGTTGTATCTCTTTCTGTAGCCTGAAGAAAATTCGTGGTAAAGTCTGGAAGCAGAGAATATCCAGTCCTTTGTTCAACACAAAACAGTACACGATGGACCTGGAACGACTTTACCTTCAGATGTGGGATCACTATGCTGCTGGCAACAAACCAGACCATATGATCAAGCCAGTGGAGACAAGTGAATCTGCATGAGACTGCCCACGTGGAACTCTCCAGGAACTGAGCCTCCCCAACTCCTTTTTGAAGGGGTGGAAGCTCAAGACTGTGCATTTCTACTTAATCTGCCTGGTACTCTGTGGCTGAAATGATACATGGTGGTGATTAGAGCACAGCCAGACATATTACTTGCATGATAGGAAGAGATTCTATAAAGACTGGGACCCTTTTATTCAATGCGGGATTGAGCTGTGCACATGTGCTGTATGTAGGCAAGACCTGATACGTGGTGGGGAAAGTGTGAACTGCCCAACCAATTGTGATTTTTTTCATGGATTGATTCAGTCGTCCAATGAATTATTTCTCTCCTCTGATGTGGATTGGGAATTGGAGCTTTTTAATGTTTGATTTCAGGTATTCCTGTTGGTATATGTGTGGTTTTCCCATGACAAGATTTTCAGCTAGTGTATGTTGCACCCTGCATTAACTTTTCAACTGTGCAGACTGAAAGGGCGTATTTGCTGGTGTAGTCTTTTTTTTATAGGTTTTATAAACCACTTGAGCCTATATCAGCCTTTTAATGTTTGACCTTTGTTTTTGGAGCTTTCTGTATTGTGTTGATTTAGATGAGGACTCGGTGTGTTTCATGTGGGTTTTTGGTTTTGTTTTTAAGCTTCCCTGTAACAACTAATTGGCTTCATGACGACAGCTCCTATTCTGTTGAAAAACCAAATTTGAGTTCAAATTAATGCCCCTTCTCCCTCCTCTGCCCTCCAGAGTGTTTGAAGCAAACAAACCTGGTGCCAAATAAACCCTTCAGGAATGATCATTAATTATGTATAGTGGCACAGTCTTAGGTACTGTAGCAAAGACTTTTTTCTTCTTTTTTTTTTTTTTTTTTTTTTTTTTTTTTTTCTTTTTTTTAAATAAAGCTTTGATTTGCCCAGTTTGATCTACTTGACCAACGTTTCGCTTTTACAACCCTTTCCATGCTGCTGTCAAAATCTAGTGTTCTGGGCTGCTATCTTTTCACTTAATTTCTATAGGTGGCTTGAAATATTTTCATTTATTTCAGCAGAAATGTTATTCCAGGTAAGTATAGATTTTCATCAACTAAACATCTGCCTTCAGTATGTTTGTAATGTTAAAATATATTCCAAATCTAAAGCTCTAAAGGGCTCTATGTACATACTTAATTTTTGCAGTATTTTAGGGCCTTACCGAAGCTACCTTCCTTACTTTCCTTTCTTGTAGTGTCCCATCTTCAGCACGCTATGATGTAATGTGGAGGGTGTGGTCTTCTTTGTAAACTGAATAATGAGTTTTTGTATTGAACAAGCAGGAACAAATAACCAAATTCCTTAAGCTCCACGGAGGGTCACGGACTGCAGTTTAAAACCAGTGTCAGTCTTGCTCGCTGTACTACATACTGCCGCTCAGTTACAGGTAACCAATTTGTCTGCTACTAGTGCTGCACTGGAGAGTTGTGTTCTTTCGCTGCTTTGGTGCACCTTTCATCTAGTCTCAAATGATGCTTGAATGTGTCCTAGCAGGTGAATTCTTAGTGTCCACACATTGGTTTTCTGGCAGAACCTTATTCGTGGCTAAAATGAGCAAGACATCTAGGTCACAAGTCTCAAAGGAAAGTTTGCACATTAATCAGTTGTACTGTTTTATTGCAAGTTGTCTGTGCCATAGCTGGGATTTCTTTTCTTGTCTTCCTCTTTTAACAAGCTTAAGGCAGTAAAGGTGACTGCATCCTAAGGGCTGCTGTTGCACGTTACTGACCCTGGTTTGGAGTAGACTGTGTCGTGTCCGTTCTGAACGTGGACGCTGTATCCCCTGAACACTTGAGCCTCCAGTTCGCTCTTAGGCAAACCAGCGATCCCTGCTGCAGGGTCTAGCTGCTCACTTGGCTTTGCTGACTGTAACAGGCTTGTTTCCACGTAAATGTCTGATTTTAAAACGGAAAAAACAACATAAATACAGATAAAGATCTCACTGGAGCGTGTGTGTGGGTGTGTGTATGCTGCAGGCGCACCCATGCGCTCTTCTCCCCGGGCTGCAGCGGGGGAGGCGGGGCAGGGCAGGCGCGAGGGGCGTGGGACATACCCTGGGCCCGGCGGACTCCCGCTGCAGGACGGTGCCAACGTGCAGCCCCGGGCG